GAGACTCACTTGAGCCCAGGAGTTGGAGGTTGCTGTGAGCTGTGATGCCACAGCACTCTACCCAGGGGGACAGCTTGAGGCTCAGTCTCAAATAAATAAATAAAATACATAAAAACACAAGTCAGGCTGGGCGCCCATACCTCAGTGGTTAGGGCACCAGCCACATACTCGGAGGCTGGTGGGTTTGCACCCGGCCCAGGCCTGCTAAATAAAAAAATAGCCAGGCATTGTGGTGGGTACCTGTAGTCCCAGCTACTTGGGAGGATGAGGCAAAAAAATCGCTTGAGCCCAAGAGTTTGAGGTTGCTGTGAGCTATGATGTCATAGCACTCTACCAAGGGTGACAAAGTGAGATTCTGTCTCAATAAAAAAAACAAAACCTATGAGTCAAAAGAATTTCTCTGAAAGTTATGATAGATGGATATAAAATTTCAATCACTTCAGCTTGTTCTGTATAATATTGTAGGCACCTGAACTCTGCTAAGATGAGAGACTCTGTTCATAGAGTATGTGCAGTGGAGCTGGGAAGGGAAAGAATGGAGGAGTTACAGAAACGGGGAGGGCCATATGTGTTAGTTAACAATGACCTGGAAAGATATTGCCTTGTACAGGTTGACAGCAGCAAGCAATCTCCATTTTCTTTTTCCTTTTTTCAAGTTAAGGCAAACTAAAAGAAACAATTTAATTTAGGCCCACATGTCAGAACTTCTACAGTTGAAATGGACAAAAGGAACATAAATGGACACAAATAGATCTCAAATTTGGGAAACAAAAAGTGTGGAGGAAGACTGCAGGGGCAGTCTAATTACACAATCCAGGTTAGTAACACATACATGATCAGAGAGTTAAATGCAAAATGCTTATATGTAATTAAGTTCAGATTAACCAGGAAGTGCCAGTGGGAATTATAATTTCTACAAATAAATATCATCTTACATAGCTGTATGGATTGGTTTTTGCATTATCACTTATTATATTTTAAAAGGTGAAACTGTTTGCTCAGTAAAAAAGAAAAACCCTTGCTTACCCGGGGTATGAAGAATTCATCAGCACTGAACTTATAAAGCCATTCATCCAAAAAGTGAAACAGAAGAGACTGTAAATCATCTCCTACATGGGATCAAAAAAGCCATAACAGTATGATGTTTAATAATTCTGACCTCTAAAAACTTAACTGAATTTAGAAGTGTAATGGATTTCTTAGGCTAGTGGAAAGAGAAAGAACAGGCTCATGATCAACTGTTGTTTTTATTGTGAAAATACAGTCAGATTACGTAGAATACTGCAATGTCTTTCTTGTGAACAAATCTGTTACCTTGAGTTTCTACTTCTACTGTCTGGAGGGGCTCCACAGTCCCAGTATCTGTCATGTAACCAAACATGGCCATTGCACATTGCTCAAATGCTTCCTCCAGGGTATCTCCCCATGCATGTAACCTAAAGAAACATATTCATGCTATGTGGAACATAATCCATTACACAAAGAAAGCTTGACAGCAAAGTCAAAATAAAATCACTATGAGGCTGGATGCAGGGGTTCGTGCTTAGAATCCCAGCATATTGGAAGGCTGATGTGGAAGGACTGACTGAGGTCAGGAGATTGATACCAGCCTGGGCAATACAGTGAGATCTTGTCTCCAAAAAATAAAAAAAAGAAAGAGCCAGGCATGGTGGCCCATACCTGTAGTCCTAGCTACTAAGGAGGCCAAGGCAAGATTGCTTAAGCTTAGGAGTTACAGTAAGCTATGAGCATGCCACTGCCCTCAAGTCTGGGTAACAGAACATGACTTCATCTCTACAAATCAATTGTTTTTTGAGATAAAGTCTCACTATGTCGCCCCTGGTAGAG